CCCTGACATTTTGCTTTGTTTGTTGGAACAGTTTTTATTGAGGTATTATCTACATGCCATAACATTCCTGTTTCAAGTGGACACTTTAATTATTTTGGGTAAATTTACATGGCTATGCAACCATTACCAAAATTCAATTTTAGAATATTTCATCACTCTAAAGAGATCCCATGTGTCCATTAGCAGTCACTCCCCACCCCCACCCCCCTCTCACCCCTACCTCCACACTCCCACACCTCACCCCTACTCCCACCCCCACCCCCAGCCACCCCTAATCTACTTCCTGTCTCCATAGATTTCCCTGTGCTGGATATTTCATATAAAAGGAACCGTACACTATGTGGTCTTTTGTATCTGGCTTCTTTGACTCAGTGTGATGTTTTCAAGAATTCATCTGTGTTGTAGCATGGATCACTGCTTCACTCCCTTCTATGTATTAATAATACTTCACTATATAAATACACCAGATTTTATTTATCCATTGACCAATCGATGGCCATTGCGTTATTTCCACTTTCTGGCTCTTGTGAATAAATGCCACTGTGAACATTTAGTGCACAAGCATGTGGATGTATGTAATTTCTCTTGCATAGATACCTAGGAGTGGGTTTGTTGTTTATCTTTTTAGGAAAGTGCCAAACTGTTTTTCAAAGTGGCTGCACCATTTGACTTTCCCACTAGAGGTACATGAGATTTGCTTTTGCTCTGAAACCTTGAAAGCACTTGGGTTTTTTTGTTGTACTGATTATAGTTATTCTAGTAGGTGTGAAGTGGTATCTCATTGTGGTTTTGATTGGTGTTCCTCTAATTATTAACATGTGGAGCACCTTTTCATGTGCTTATTGGCCATTTGTATGTCTTCTTTCGTGAGATATCTGTTCAAACCTCTTGCCCATTTTAATTGGATTATTTACCTTCCTAATGTTGTGTTTTAAAAGCTCTTCATATGTTCTAGATACAAGTCCTTTGTTAGATAATAATTATATTATTATTATTAGGTTATATTATTTTAAAATAAATACATTATTATATATAAATATATAATAACATTATTATATATTATCTGCAAATATTTTCTCCCAGTCTGTGGCTTGCCTTCTCTCTTTCTTAATGGTATAAAATTTCTTTTGTTTTTTTTTGAAGATTTTGTTTAAGATTTTATTTATTTATTCATGACAGACACACAGAGAGAGAGAGAGAGAGAGAGAGGCAGAGACACAGGCAGAGGGAGTCCCGACGTGGGACTCGATCCTGGGACTCCAGGAGCACACCCCAGGCTGAAAGCGGCGCTAAACCTCTAGGCCAGCTGGGCTCCCCTTTTTAAAAGATTTTATTTATTTATTCATGAGGGACACAGAGAGAGGCAGAGACATAGGTAGAGGGAGAAGCAGGCTCCCTGCACAGGGCCCGATGCGGGACTCGATCCCAGGACCCCAGGATCACGCCCTGAGCCAAAGGCAGACTCTCAACCACTGAGTCACCCAGGCATCCCCCATTTCTGTTTTTTTTTTAAAGTAAGCTCTATGCCCAACTTGGTGCTTGAACTCCCAACCTCAAAATCGAGAGTTGTGCATTCTACCCACTGAGCCAGCCAGGTGCCCCGAATATTGTTTTTTAAAAAAGATTTTATTTATTCATTAATTTATTTATTTAGAAAGAACATGAATTGGGGAGAGACAGAGGGAGAGAGAGAATCTCAAGTAGACTCCACACTGAGCACTGAGCCAGACGTGGGCCTCAATCTCATGACCCTGAGATCATGACCCAAGCCGAAACCAGGAGTTGGACACTTAACTGACTGAGCCACCCAGGAGACCTTGAAGTTTTTTTAAAGTAGTCTCTTTACCCACTGTGGGGCTTGAACTGAGATCAAGGGTCATACATCCTACTGACTGAGCCAGCCAGGTGCTCCTCCTGTTTTTTAGAAGACGACTTTTTTTTTTTTTTAAGATTTATTTATTCATGAGAGAGACACAGAGAGAGGAAGAGACATAGGAAGAGGGCGGAGAAGCAGGCTCCATGAGAGCCCAATGCGGGACTCGATCCCGAGACTCCAGGATCACACCCTGAGCCAAAGGCAGACACTCAACTGTTGAGCCACCCAGGGGTTCCTAGAAGACAAAACTTAAGCCTCATTGGTTCTCTTCCCTCTCCCCGCACCTGTCCTGAGGATGCTGAGTATTATTCCATTGAGACTTTATACTTTTCCTAGATACGTGTCTACCATCAATGCTTATTCTTGTTTTTATCCCACTGTAGGTACCTTTCAGAACTTTTTTTTTAATTTTAATTTTTATTTATGATAGTTACAGAGAGAGAGAGGCAGAGACACAGGCAGAGGGAGAAGCAGGCTCCATGCACCGGGAGCCCGACGTGGGATTCGATCCCGGGTCTCCAGGATCGCACCCTGGGCCAAAGGCAGGCGCCAAACCGCTGCACCACCCCCAGGGATCCCCACCTTTCAGAACTTGTATGTGTTTCTCCACTTGACATTATGTTTGGGGAATTTTTCTGTGTTGAATATATAAAGCTCATTCACCCCGTTTTTTTTCCTTTTGAAATTACGACATTTAATAGTGAAACATTTCAGCATTGTTGGTCCGTAGGCAAAAGCATGGCTGTGGTTGTAAGTCACTGCTAGGGAAGCAAACATGAGTGATTTCACCATTTCTGCTTCGTTTGCTTTTAACTACTGGGCTTCACAACCACAGTGTAATTTACAGATTGTGACATAAAATCCCCCTCCGTTTTAGGCTGTTTCCATTTCAAGCCTTTACCTGAAGGAACTGTGTTTAGATTTAAGGAGGACACGGACATAAGAAATTTGACAAAGAACTGTGGTAAAAATCACATGCTAAAATTATATAAAGAAACCATGAAACACCTTCCTAACCATACATCAAATTTGTGTATTTTTTCCATCATATTTTTTTAATATACTCATGATAGACAGAGAAAGAGAGAGAGATAGAGAGAAAGGGGCAGGCAGAGGGAGAAGCAGGCTTCATGCCAGGAGCCTGATGCTGGACTCGATCCCGGGACTCCAGGATCACATCCTGGGCTGAAGGTGGTGCTAAACTGCTGAGCCCACCAGGGATCCCATACACATCTGGCATCTGTGGTGAGAAACCCCACTCTAGGGAAAACTAAAAATTTCATACAGTAAAATAAAACTCTAAAGATGAGAAAACTGGGCACCTGGCTGGCTCAGTTGTAAGAGCATGCAACTCTTAATCTCAGGGTTGTGAGTTCAAGTTCCATATCGGGCATGGAATCAGCTGAAAGAAAGAAAGAAAAGACTATTTCTGGCATGATATGTAGCACTGTTTAGAGCTGCCAATTAATGTTACTGCTTCAGATGGCAAACAAAATTACATCTTCGTTATGGATTTACAGTGATTAGTATCTACATAACCTTAATTATATACAGGATCTATATTTTCACTTTCAGACTCAGTCTATGGACAGAGCACTGAAGACTTATTTTAACCTTAGAAAGACACCATGGCAGGGCACCTTGGTGGCTTGGGTCGGTTAGGTGTTTGCCTTTGTCGTAGGTCATGGTCTCGGGGTCCTGGGATGGAGCCACATTGGTCTCCCTGTTCAGAGGAGAGCCTTGCTTCTCCTTCTCCCTCTGTGCTCTCTCTCTCTGTCAGATAAAAAGTAAAATCCTAAAGAGAAAGAGAGTATGGCAATATAAAAGTAATAGTATGAGCTACTGACCATAGGAGGTAGGGGAGTGGAGGGTAGGTACTTATGGGTACACTGTCAGGAAGTTCAGGTAATAGGTATATTATTCACGATTACAAATATTACCAATACACAACAAAAAGTTAAACTAAGGGGATCCCTGGGTGGCTCAGTGGTTCAGCGCCTGCCTTTGGCCGGGGGCGTGATCCTGGGGTCCTGGGACCGAGTCCCGTGTCAGGCTCCCTGCATTGAGCCTGCTTCTCCCTTTGCCTGTGTCTCTGCCTCTCTCTCTCTCTCTCATGAATAAACAAATAAAATCTTAAAAAAAAAAAAGTTAAAATCACTTATAAAAATCGAGGGGGGTGAGGACAGGATATAGAATATGTGATAAAGTCCCATAATATGGGCGGGTGGCAGTAGAACAATTAAAACATAATATTTTTGAAAATTCAACTTAGAAAATCAAGAAATGGAGGCATAAGCTCGTTATTTGGCATCACAGGGTTAAACTGGAAGAAATAAATGCAGAACAGACCAAAAGTGGTTGGAGCAGGAGCAGGACTGAAGCTGGAACTGGGAGGGTGGACTTCTGTTTTTCAGTCTAACCCCTTTTATGTGGTCTTAAACCATCCCCCCACCCCACCCCCACCCCCTCACACACGTGCATATGTTATTCTTCTACCTAAAAGGAAGGAAATGGGATGAGATCAGCTGTGGCTGCTGTGGCAGGGGCGAAGTATAAGATGTTTTCAGAAATTCATTTCCTAATGAGCCAGAGGCCCGGGATTTTCCCCATCAATTCCTGTGTCTGTGGATGGATGTTAATTATTCGTGGAGTGACTTGGGGTTTCAGCACCGTGCTCTGTGCTTGTGTTGTGTTTACGAACGATGACAATGCTCAGAATCCTTATTCGCCTGAATAATTGATTAGGTAAAGAAGCAGTTAGCACAGCCTGGCTCAAGCCCTGAGCTCCTCCCAAAGCCCCAGGCCCCACAGTGAACACATCTCAGGGCAGCGAAGCGTCGGAGCCAAGTTCAGGGAGGAGGGAAGAGCCTGGCTGGCGCTGGGCGCACTGGGGAAGGCGCTGAAGGAGCAAAAGCTTTACACCTGCCCTGGCTTCGTAGCACCCACCACCGCCCGCCCCAGAGGTGCGGGCCCCACGCGGGACCTCCCCCCCAAAGCAGCATTTCTCATCCCTGGCTGCTCGCCAGAATCTTCTGGACGCTTTCAAAGGGGCCACCCCAGGCCAGATGGCCAACCCGGCCCCGCGCCGGCCCCTCGGTCAGGCGCCCGCTCCCTAACGCGGGCGATGCGCTGCCGCGTCGCGGTGGCTCCGGGCCGGACGCCCAGGCGTCGAGCGGCGGGGACTGCGGCGGCTCCCGGCCAAGATCCCTTACCCCTCTTCCCCGCAGTGTACCACTGGGTGGAGATGCGGGCCAAGATGCGCCTCATGGGCTTCAACGCGGCCGCCGTGAAGCCGCTGAACGAGGACGCGGCCGCCGAGCTGGGCGCCGAGCTGCTGGGCGAGGCCACGGTCTTCGTGGTGGCCTGCGGCTGCCTGGTGCTGGAGTACTGGCGCCACCAGGCGCACCACCGTCGCAAGGAGACAGCGCGGCGCGCCGCCTGGAGCGCGATGCGGGACGAGGTGGACCACCTGGCGCTGGCGCTGGCCGCCCTGCACGACCAGGTGCGCGCGGCGCCGCAGCAGAGGGCGCTGGAGGAGCTGCAGGTGCAGATGCGGGAGGTGCGCGCCCAGCTCTGCGCCCGCGACCCGCCGTCCGCGCCCCAAGCCAAGCCCAAGGAATAGGGGGCTGCCGGACCTTGGGCCTCCATGTGGCCGTGGCCTGGGCTGTGACGTCTCCGACACGACCTTCTGTCCACACTGTCCCTTCCTGAACCGGCCCAGCTAATACCACCCGGTCATCTCAGGGGCAGGACGGAGGCTGTACTGGGGCTGAGGCAACCAGGCTCTGGGACACCTCCCTACCCCAGTGGTACCGTCCACGGGGACTCCCCACCCACTGGTGGAACATTCCAACAGGAGTTTCCCACCCCTTGCCCTCCCCCCCCCCACCTCAGCCCACTGATTTAGCAGTCTTCCCCCTGGATCCCACCCACCCACAACTAGGTGGGCCAGCAGGACACGTGGACCCAGCTAACTCATTCTGTCACTCACACCTCCACTTACCTGAGTGGCTTTCCCCGGCCGGGACACTCATCCAGTATACCAGAGCACCCTTTCCACATTCTTCATTGGTACAGACTATTGTAATGAAAATGCAAACTCCCAGGGACTTTGGACCCCATACTTTCCATCTACCTCGCTTTGGAGGGGGCAGAGAAGGATGATCTTGGAGTGCCTTAGCTCCAGTGAGTCACCCTGTGGCTCCTGCCTTTGGCCCACCAGCCATCGGTACCTCAGTTGATCACCCCAAGCAGACCATTCCAACAGATACCCTCACTTCAGTGGGTGCCATAACCCATGGAAAGGCTGTGCAGGATCCCCCCGCCTTCTGTTGTCTGTTCCAGCAGGACTTGGTCCTTTGGGGTAGAAAAATCAGTTCTGCACAGGGATGAACCATTCTGTGTTTTGGTCTCAGCTGTATACCTGTCTGACCTACTGTTGTCCCTGCCTACTGTCCTCCTCAGCTGGTCCCTCATAGAGACCCCCACCTGTTCCCCTACTACCTGGGTCACTTGTCACATCTGCCATCTCCCACCCCAACCTGCTCAAGTACTCTGGGATTCCTTCTTCCTGCTTATCCTTCGACTGGTCACCCAGTCCACCCTCACCCTCCTTCATACAAAGGCTTCCTCTAGTGGGACCACCTGGCCCTCAGCCCTGAAGTCCCCCCCGCATCCAAATGGAATATTCCAACCAGGCAGTGTTATCTACCCCCCCACCCCCTACCAAACCAATGAACCCCTGAAGAGGGTGTATGTGAGCTCTGTGATTTCTGAATTCTATTTTTTTTTAAGATGTAAATATTTTATAATTAAAGGAGCTCTGGGGTAAATAAGTCATCTTTAAGAATGTGTCTGAGCACCATGGCGTACATCTGCAAAATGGGTACAGGATCATTGGAATTAGCAGAGAAGCTGGGAGGATTCCCATTGGAAGGGTCAGAGTCATCCCACAAGCCATTTCCCAGATGGGGAAACTGAGGCCCAGGAGTAGCAACAGGACTTGCCTGATGCCACACTGTGCGAGACTATCCTTAGCTTTCTCCAGGGTGGCAGATTGGTTGTCGGAGCCTGTGGGAACTGGAGCAGATACAGGATGGAAGGAGGAGGAGGGGAAGGCAGATCACTGCCTGGAGGGGCACACACACACCTCCACCCTCATCAGAGCAGCCCTCCAAATCAGTCCAGAAATCTTCGTATTTATAAAAAACAGGCAGATTTATTCGGTAGGGGCCCATTTTCAAGAAGCTAAAGGTGAAGGTGGGAGAGGGGAGGTTTCCTCCCCCTTTCCTTTCTCCCTCATCTTATTTCCCCAGGGGGACCCCAAAACCTACCCAAATAAAAAACCAAAAAACTGAGGTTCCAAAAAGTTATAGCATCTTAATTCCTCATAGAAAAGGGGAAGGAGCCAAAGGGAAGGGAGCTCCCTGGGGTGGGAGTGGGGGTGGGGGAGGTGCCCCCAGCCTGGTGGGACATCCTCCCCCTTAAATAGCTGCTCCAAAGGGGACAAGCCCTGGGCATAGCATTTAAAAACTCCCCACACCCCAATTTTATCAAAACGAAAGAGAAACAAAATTTCCCTTCCCCCCAAAACCTAAATATATATATATATTTTTTTTTCCTTAAAAAAACAAAAATTCGAAGGCATTAAGCGTTAAAGTGAATCTAGAACAAGGGAATGTGAGATTCCCTCCTTCCTTCCCCCTTACTGTGGGGTCACTTGGAACATCCCCAACAGAGGAACCAGCCCCAAGGGGATGGCGAAGGGGAAGGACCAAAGGGAGCAAAGGGTGGGGGCCTCCCCAGCCAATCAGCAGCCAGTATGGGTGTGGCCCTGAGGCCACGGAGCCACACCCCCTTGGTATTTTCCAAGTAGGACAGGGAGTGGGGGAGATGCATTCCTGTGTGGTCTTTAGCCAATTCCAAGTCGAGTTGAGTTGAGGCAGGGAAAGCGGGGTGACAGGCGGGGTGTGCAGAAAGGAGATACAGGATCTTCTGGAGCCCTGTGGTCAGGGGGAACCCCGCTTCCTCAGCTCCTGGACAAACGCTGGAAGGAAACAAGGAGCAGGGGTCAGGGGCAGAGCCTCTTCCGCCTTCCCTTCCAACACAGGGCCCTTTCCAGGAGACGTGATGCCTCCAAAACAAATGTTTAAAATTCAAAAACCACCTCACCTTCAATGATCTCTTCTTTTACTTTCTGCAGTTCCTTCCTCACCTCTTCCAGAAGCTCCTGGAAATAATGGGGTGCAACCAATCAGGAAGGGCACCCTGGACTTGCAGAAATGAAGCTCCTCTTTTTTAAAGAGAAAGCCCCCTTTTAAAAATAACTCCCCCCCCTTTCTAAAGAGAAAGCCCCCCCCCCTTTCTTAATAAGGGCCAGAGGAAGAAGGTTCAAGACCCTTACCCACCCCAACACACACGCGGGGGACACACACACACACACAGTGACATCACTGATAAGGCCAGAGAGTGACTGGAGAATTCTCAGGGAAAATTCTGGATCGTTGGAGCCAGATGAAAAGGACTGGAGAGCATCCAGTATTAGGGCTGGCAAATATTTTTCTGTCTCCTGCCAATTCTGATTGGTGCTGTCTGGGGCTAGTGTGCTGGAAAGGACTCTGGGTGCTCATCAGGAATGAGTGCAGTGATAGATTAGTAAGGTCTGTGACTGGCGCTGGAAAAGGAGGCTGTGGTATGTGTGTCATCCCTGACCTGATTCAATCTCTCCATTTCTCAGGCTGGATAACTGAGGTTTCTGAGGCCTTTTAACAGAATCACAGGGCAGATGGATGGCGGAGTTTGGCCCCAAATCTCCTTTCTACCTGTGGCTCCTTTCTAGCCCGGGCCTCCCAACACCCGACCCCCCACCCCCCACTCCACCCCCGCCAAGCTACCTGTTTCACCCTCTCCAGGTCTGACTCGTCACTGGAGCTGGGCGTGGAGGGGTGGGCCTCGGAAGTGGTCACGGATGAAGAGGACTTCATCCTAGGAGAGTCAGTGTGGTTTGGGACAGAAATGAGGTTAGAGAAAGGGTCGGCCTCCCCTGCTTCCCGTTCCAAGGGTCGCCTGGTGTCCCTTCCTACAAAGGTGACAGATCCATCTATTTATGGGAGGGGAGGGACCCAGCACTGATGGCGCACCTTGGCAAGGTTGTGCTGTTCTTCTCCCAGGGTCTCCGCACAGTTTCTGGGGGACAGGCAACAAACCAGGAAGATCAGGAACGAGGAATGCCCCGCCTCAGTCTCCCCACAGCCTCATCAGCCCCTGTTCAAAGGGTCTCAAGGGACTACAGTCCACAGCATGGCCTGCAGACTCCCCCAGGAGGGGGCATTCCACCTGAGAACAGGGCATCCGGCCCTAGAGGCTAGACAGGCTCCACTCACCACTCTGGGCTGGGACTGGGACTCTGGCCTCTGGCTCCTCCTGCTGGTGGGAAATAAAACTGCCATGAGACCGCCGGCTGATCCTCGCCTTGGCGTCACCCCGCCCCGTTCCTGTCACACCCCGGCCCTCCCCAGTATCCCTACCCGAATGGTACAGCCTAAGGTGCACCTGGCAGGAAGAGCCCCTAACTCACATTGGCAGATTCATCCTTGGGGGGTTTCTCCCCAACTTGTGTGGCTTTCCTTCTGCAGGAGGGACAGGCAAAAACAGATGACTTCAGCCCTCCCTCAGCCACTCAGTAATTCTTACCAGAGTTCTAGAAAGGTGGATGCTAAGGTGTAGAGTTCTGGAATCCTCAAAGGGTAAGGAAACTGGAGTTTTAGAAGTTAAAGAGAGTGCTGTTCTCCAACTGGGGTGTGTGTGTAGGGGGAAGGGGGGTTAGGATTCTCACATTTGGGAATCACAAAACTCTAAGGGTGGAGGATTCTCGATCTTACATGGCTGGGATTCTAGGAATCTGGGTTTCCAAGATTCCGAGGCAAGATCTCCTCTAAGGGGAGACCTCCTCAGGTTCTAGAATTCAGGGTTTCAGAACATTCTGGAGGCTACCCCCAGGTGGTTCCAAACCTCAGCCATCGCGGGAGAATGTAATCTCCAGCACTGTCGATCCCAAACCTGCCTATCACAGAAGGAACTTTCACCCAAAGAAACAAACCAGATGGGAATCTGAGCCCTCCCCCAACCTGGCCCTACAGAACTGGAATCTCCAGGTGCTAACTGCAGGTCTGAGAGGTTTCTTCCCAGAGCTTTCCAAGGCATTGGCGGCTCCAGGCTCCAGGCTCAGGCTCACCTCCGGGCCAGCATGGCATTCATCTCTTCCATCAGCCCCCCGCCCGTGCTTCGAGTGCTCTCTGCTTTAGGGACTGAGGGCCCCCCTGAGGCCTCCTCTTGCTGGAGAAATGACAAAGAAGAAGGGGCTTTATGGGTGGGCCTCCTAGCCCCCCTGGCCCTCCTGTGGCCCCACTCCCCCCTCCGACCCCTGCAACTCTGGTCTCATCCCATCAGGGCCATCCCCCCACATCCAGCCATACGTGGCCCCCTCACCTTGCTGACTTTCCTGAGTTTGGCTCCGGCAATGGCTGCTGCAAGACCGGGGGCCCCTGTTCCCCCCCCACTGGGGCCTTGTGCTGTGGGGAGAGGGGGCGCAGGGGGTGGGCCTCCCCCTGCTCCGTGCCCTGCCGCAGAGCCCCCTGAGAGGGACACACCAGGGGGTGGGGGGGGACCCGGAGGAGGAGGAGGTCCTGGAGGGGGGGGCGGTCCCCCAGCTGGGGGAGCAGGAGGC